AAAGTATCATGTCATCTGCAAATAAAGATAATTTAACTTCTTCTTTGCCTATTCTTATTCCTTTTATTTCTTTCTCTTGTCTAATGGCTATAGCTAATGATTCCAGAGCTATATGGAATTGGAGTGGTGATAGAGGCAGATCTTCTTTCTATGTAAAAGTAATGACCATAAACATTCCCAGGATATAATTCCATATAATTCCATAATTTATCTACAGTGACTGTGTATAGTAATGCAAGCCTTAAAGAGCATGTGATGCTTTGTTACCTGGTCATTCAGATGTCTTTTTATATATCAGATTCAGTGTCAGTCATTTCTTATGGCACAACGAAGTAAAGCAAAGTAGCTAGAGGTTAAACACAGCTCTGGTGTTAGCCGAGCAGTTCCTCTGTGGTCCCCTGCCCTCTCTAATATAGCGGCTGAAGGGCTGGCTGGGCAGGAAAGCCCAATGTAGCGTGGCACTGATAATGGCAAAGGTGACTCAGTTCCCTTGCATGTCATCCTCAGTTCCCCTGCATGTCCCCGGCTTTTCATCCTCTGGGAAGTTAGACCACCTTCCTCCCGGACTGTTCTCAAAACCACACTGAGTGAAGGCAGCATCACACTACCAGGCCTAGTCTTCAGAATGTTCCTGGCACTTCTGTCACATTCTCTGAATCAACGCAAGTCACAATGCCAGCTCAGATTCAAGAGCATGAAGAGTCAAAGTGTACCAGTGGGTGGAATGTGCGCCAGAATTATATTACAGTGAAGTACTCATAGGATGGGAAGACTCTTTGGCCACTAAACAATCTGTTATGGAAGGCAACATGTCCTACCTCTGTATCCCTGGTCTGAAACACAAGAAACAAAATAGTATTTATTAAATGTACAGTTGGGCGGGGCATGGTGGAGTATACCTTTATTCCCAGCACTCGGGAGGCCAAGACAGGAGGATTACTGTGAGTTTGAGGCCAAAAAAGAATGAAAAAAATAGTTAGATAATATTTGCTAGGTAGTAGATTCAGAGATGAATGAAATATCATTAAACATGGAACAAAAAGTATTCGTGGTGTATTCTTAGTAACAGAATCCATTTCATAGCAAAAATTTTTTTTTCATCTTCTTAAATAACTTACACATGAATTCATTGAACAGATATGTTTTTGAAGGCACATTATGTGCCTGCTATACTGAATTCTTAATTAAGTGCAAGCATCCCACTATCAGCTTTTTTCCTACAGTAATGGGCATATCACTGGTTACGTGGCATTTACTGTCTATTCCCAGTAAAACATTTAATCCCTGTAACTTCAAATGGATAAACATGAATAGTTCTTCAGTCCAGAGCCCTGCAGAACTGAGAGATCGGGGAACATAATAACCTCACACTTAAAACTACCCAGGGCAGGTGATTCACATTGGCCTTATTATAAGCCATCCTGGAAGAACTACACCTCAAGGTCAGGCAGGTCTCATAGGGTGCCCTTGTACCCTGAAAACTCCGTGTTATTTCAGTTTCTAACAACTGGTTCTGTCTGTTCATTGTACTCACACTGCTTATACTTCCTCACAGTGATCTGGTGTAGTTTTATAATAATTTTCAAGCCATACATAGCTCATGAAATGAATTTAGAGGATTGTGCCAAACCTTACTATTTCTGTTCTTTCAACTGGAATATATTATAATCAATAGAAACTACCAAAGTGCCCTGCACATTATAAAGGTAATGACAGCTCTTTCAACATTGTCTATGCACGTGTATATTATGTGAGTGTATATAAAGGCATATGCATGCATATGAGTATATTAGGCCACAGTAGAAAACTCATTTCTTGGTTTATGCCTTTGTCAAAAAAATGTAGTGTTCTAGAACAACTCTGAGGTCTGGAGCTTCTCACTTATTAGCAGGAAGTGGCACTGTCAGTAAGGGACGCTGGTGATGAGCCAGATTCAAACGTACCAACAAGGTGTCTGAAAAGCCCAGCATCTAGAATTTGGGGAGCAGCAGCAGGACAAGAGGCTAGTAGGCCTCACTCAGATGTAAGGAAAGGAAATATGACAGTCTTTATCCCATTCATTTGCCCCAGAGGCCACAGTACAAAGGAAAATAGAGATACTTTCAGGAATCAAGAATGACCATTAATTCCAGCCTCTGTGGCACAGTGCTTCCAGGAAACCCTCCCCCCCATCAGAAGGCAAAGGGCACTACAACTCACGTGGTGCTTGGCCACATAAAGAAGAGTCCCAGCTGCTTCTGTTGGCCAGGGTTCAGACAGTTCTCAACTGCAGAGAAGAGTGCCAGGAAGAGCCCAGAAATGGGAAATATTCACCATTTCTCACTCTCCTGCACAGTCTCATGGAGAATGTTACAGCCTTTGGGTCTGCACAGAGCATCTAGTTCAGCCTTTTCGACAAACCAGGAAACTGAGGCCCTAAAGGGTTGGATTTAAAGTCTTTTAGCAGGTGATTTCCTTTTTATTCAAGTTAATGCTTCCTTTCTGCTTGTTTATAATTTGTGCATCTTATTTGCTAATTGGACAAGTTTGGAATCACACAGCCTGAGTTTGCACTTAGATGCTGCTGCTCTCTGGCTATGTAAACTTCCACGAGTTACCCAACCTCACTGAGCCTCATTTTCTCTCTTTGCAAAAAAACCAGTAATAATCCCTACCTTTTAAAACTGATGCTGGGGAGATCGTCAGTAGGAGAAGCACTTGCTTGGCAAGCGCAAGGGCCTGAGTTCAATCCCTGGTTCTGCCAAAAAAAAAAAAAAAAAAAAAAAAGAAAAGAAAAGTAAGACCAGCAATGAGACAGGCCAGGAAAAGATTTAAGGACAGTGCCCAAAGAACTCTGAATGTGTGCTTTTCTTGTAATTAACCTCGTTATTTCAAATGGGGAAGTAGGAAGAGACATACCTTTAGAAAGATGACTGTGGCTGAGTGGACATCACATGGGTGTGCTAAACAGCAGCAGGAGGGTGAAGAGCAGCAGGTGGCCTTAAGAGTAGAGTTGGAACCAGGCACGTGGGGCACATCTGTAGCCCAGCACTCAGACACACTGAGACAGGAGGACTGCAGGCACAAACTAGGCAATTTAATGATTCCTGGTATCAAAATAAAGCCAGGAGAGTTAGCTCTGAGTGCGTAGCTCAGTGCAAGGGCTCCGAGTTCAATCCCAAGTACTACCAAAAACAATACACAAACAACCACAATTGAGGGGAGCTGGTGGCAGATTGTTCGGGTGAGGTGGTAAGATAGTGGTGTCTTTGTATCACTGGTTTTTGGAGAGTCTGAGGAGAAACTCACTGCATCAAAAACTAGCCAGGTGTTTTTTTATCCTTCTGATCCACACTGTCAGAGCTGGTGGCTGTGACCAGTATTAGTACTAGCAAGTCCTCATAGCGGACACATGCACAGCATCCAAGGGAGCAAATTCACTCCCCTCCTTCATACCAGACTTCCTGCCCTCTTCCTTGTTCCATTTATTTATTTATTTATTTATTTATTTATATCCTCATTTGCATGTCTCAAATGCATTTCAAACTCAGGACAAATGTGTTATTGCATACTCACAACTATAGTGTCCTACAGTGTAGTTCCAGTACCAAAAACATTCACTGGGTTCCACACATCTGTCCCTCCCTCTCTTCTAACTCTGGGCAACAACTTCTCTTTTCACTGAGTCCATAATTTTGCCTCTTACAGACTGTCATATAATTGGAATCATATACTATGGCCTTTCCAGACTTTTCTTTCACTTGGTAATAAGCATCTAATGTTCCTCAATGTCTTTTTACAACACAAGAGGTATTTAATAAGTCCATCTGTGGCCTGCTTCCCACTTAAAATTTGAAAGAGTATTTACCACTGTTTCACTCTTCTCTTTTCAATCTGTAGAGATGTTATTTTCTTGAAGCTATGATGCTGCTTTTAAAAGGATGTTCTTTACATTTTAGTCAGCATTTCTAGATATTAGTAAAGGCCTTCAGGTCATCTATCGGGTTGCCGGAAAGAGAAGTTGAACAGTTTTTTTCTAGTCATAATTGTTATAGGATGAGTTTATTTAAAACTTGTGAGCAAACCAGCATAGTTGCCCATGTTAGTTTTGGACAGTAACTATTCTTCCCTTTTGTCTCACCAAGAAACATGCAAGGAACACTCTAAAAGCCACTCTGTCTGTGTCCACATCAGACCTGATGAAGGCAGTGGTGGAGACTGGTGTTCCAGAGTCTCCTCCGTGGAGAAGTCCAGAGGTGAGACAGCAGCAGAGCATCGGTGTGAGAAGGGGAAAAGGACGTCGAAGCTGCCCTCTGCTGTCAGGGGTGCAAGGCCTGATGACAAAGGAGAGGACCCCAGCCGTGGGGCTGCAAGCCTTCCACCACAGGATAAGCACTGGAAGCCCAGTAGACAGCACGACTCAGCACCCAAGGCCAGAAGTGGCCCACAGAAAAGGCGCACTCAGGAGCTACGAGGAAGGTGCTCCCCAGCTGGCTCAAGCCGGCCTGGCAGTGCCAGGGGGGAGGTGGCCCATGCTGGGCAGAATCCTCTCCACCACCGCACACCAAGAAGCAAAGTGACACCAGGCAAGCTCGAAGGAGGAACCTATTCAGGTTTTCCAGAGAGCACAAAGGAAGTGAGGTCAGGAGCCAGGAAGCTGGGGCCATCTACCCTAGCTGAGAACATTCAGGTGTCTAAGGAGACTGATCCAGCACCTGGACTCCTCTCTGGGCAGAGTGTGAATATTGACCTTCTCCCTGTAGAGCTCCGGCTGCAGATTATCCACAGAGAAAGAAGTAGGAAAGATCTGTTTCGGAAAAAGAACAAAGCAGCAACTGTCATCCAGTGTGCCTGGCGAAGGTAGGAAGAGGCACTGTGGCATCTTTGATTCTTTGGTTGTTACTGTTACCTTTGTATGCTGTGATGTCGTCCCAGTGAATTCCATGGCCAATCTCATGGAGCCAGCCCATGAAATTCACATCTGTACGTGCTTGTGATTTATACTGTACAGTATATATTATGAGTACCACATTTTTGCCCAGAAAGATAGGAAGAAACATACCCAGAATAGTATGGTGTAAAGGAAAAAATCCTGGTTTGTAATCACAAACCCTGGGTTTCCAGTGTAGCTCTATCAGGTTGTCTTAATTTGGGCAATCATTTGGTCCCCACCCATCCTATTTGAGTAAAACAGGATTTAACATTTCACTGCATGTGTCCTGTTTATATGATAGATGCCAGAATTCATTTATATTTTACAAACCCTAACATAAACACACATCAGACATCTTATTTTTGTGTCTTTACTACTTATAAAGTAGTCATATGTCAAGTACCTGAACAGGCCTAGATATAGTGGATTAAGTAGCTGGAATTTATTATATAAACCTGTCTGAGTATCTAGTCAAGCTCAAAATATGAGTTAGACATTGGGAGTTAGGGTGGAGGCTGTCCTAAAAGATTGAGTCAGTGTCCTAGGATAGTAGAGACAGATACCTCCACAATGGAGGTGAATACCTCTGGGGAGGACTGGAAGGTTCTTTGCTCCAAGTTCTCATGTATTTTTTTTTTTTTAATTTTTAAAAAGAAAGAAAATTCCAAAGCACTTTACTAGGAGGGTAACAGTGGTTAATATGTTAGCATTATCTTTATTTTTTTTATTAAGGGTCTACAGGGTCTACAAGGTCTCACTATGTAGATCTGACTTATAGTGATCCACCTGTGTTCAGCCTTCCAAAGAGCTGGGATTACAGACTGGAGTCACCACACCCAGTCTTAATCATAAACTCAACGTGCCCTGGGGGTGGGATCGGCACTACATACCAGGATCGAACCCTGGCTGCTGCTTGGCTAGCCCAGCATTATCTTTAAATCAGCTACTCAGAGTACAAGATAGCAGCATTTAATTGTCCCAACATTAGCACAAATCTATCTTCAGTGAACTGAGAGAAATTAGTAGTATAACTATTTTTCTTGTACTGCATAATCTCCTTCACACCCCAGGTCAGACCTGACAGTGATGACAGTTCCCAGGGATGGGCTGGACCCACCATGACCAAAGGTGGGAGTTCTAAGCTTCTGTCTCAGGGGGAGGGAAGCTAATAGCAGATACAGTGAGCAGGTCACTGCAAGCCCAGGTGTGCCAAGCATCAAGGCCCATTTCAGTAAAAACAGAAAAACAGGCTGAGAGAACACTGGCACTGTCACTGGCACAAAGAAGAGTGCAGCTAAGTTCTTGGGAGGTCCAGGGCAACAGGCCTGTGGGGACAGCATGCCCAGACTCTCGCGCACAGCCTGGCTTGTGCTTGTGCAGCCTTTGCAATCTGGTGTCTGCTTGCGCACATGTGATCTCCCAGCCACACAAGAGGCCATCATGACAGGATTGTTCCCATTTTCTTAGACAAGCAATCACTCAGAGGATAAAGGACTTGTCTTTGTGACACAGACCCAACATTTGAACCTCTGCACACAACCCAAGGACTTTCACTTACATTATAAGTAAAGCAGCTTTTGGCCCTTGTCTGAGTAGGCTAGAGAAGGACTGCCTGGAAAGCATTCACACACAGGGACAGTCTCGGCGTCGGGAGATGCTGTTACTGCCATCATTCATATGGGTGGTATTTAGAGGGCACTTGTGCCTGGCACTGCGCGAAGTAGCTTGACAAAAATTCATTCATTTACTTCTCACAGTGTTCCGGTAGGTAGATGCTGAATTTATCCCAATTCCACAGATGAGGAAACTGAAGCCCAAAAAGGTAAATCAGTATCCTAACACCAGAGCTGGGAGGTGCTGGATACTGACTTTGAGCCAAAAGTCTCCCGCTGAAGCCTCCAGTGAGAATAGCTCCCCTTCCCTGGATGTTGTGCTGGTTATCATCCAGAGGAACTTACTGTTAAGTATTTGGGCTCAAACCTGGCATCTAAATAAGCCAGCAAGGTTACCTCATGAGGCCCCACAGCTACTTCCCAACACAAATGTCTCCCTCTCAGACTCTGTTATTGAGCTCCTTTGAAGAGTTGAAAGCTGACAGGTGCTGTCATTAAGTGTCCGGAGTAGCAAATGAGCCCTCAGTCACTCGCATCAAGAACAGTGGGCTCATAGTCAAGTGCACCCATCTGGAAGGAAATTACACAGGCCCTTCTGGCTGCACCATTGTGCAGGTCTGAGGCCTGGGGACACTGACTCTCAAAGTCTTCTGGGATGTCACTTGTGACATGCTGCACCTGGTGAGGGTAAAAACACTCTCCTTCTGTTATTATTTTAAATATATTCCCCATTTTATATTTTTCAATGCTGTCTTGGAACAGTATGTCTGACACCAAACCTGAGGGAAGGGGTAGTTGTTATGGTTTCTGTCTAGTTGTCCCCCCAAAGCCTCATGCAGTCATGGGGTGAGGACTTCTAGAATTTGTGTTAACTCATGATCCACTGGGATTATGTGTGATCCAAGGCTGGGATTATGGGTCTTACTACTGCTGGGATTACCCATAGGTGGGTAAATACTGGAAAGTACCCATAGGTGTGAGTACTTCCCCTACCCTGGGGCAAGTAATCTGCATTACAGTGTAAGGTGGGAAGAGAAGCCAGCTGCTTGAGCTGCTGCTACCTCTCCCTGTACTCTTGCTCTTTGCCACCACCATGAAAGGTTGCTTTCTGCTGTGTGCTGCTCTGCCTTGGACCCAGATGAGTATGGACTAAAACCTCCAGTAACTGTGAGCTAAATAAACGTTTCCTTCCTTCATTTTGAGTGTCGGGTATTTGTCCCAGCAACGAGAGAAGAGTAACTAAGACAGTAGTGGACAGGGTTTTTGTATTTAAATGCTCAAGAAATGTAGGCTATCTTTATAGAAGACATGTCCAGGGTGGAGAAAGGGTGCTGTAAAACAGGCAAGGATTGAGTGAACAGATTGAAACTTGGGCCTCAAGAAAAATGAAACTGAATCTTGAAATTGTGTTTTATTACCAATTAAAGCTTGACTGTTTAAAAAAAAAAAACCAGACACTGGATAAGCTAACCTGGGAAGTTACTGTGTAAGCCACTTTGTTATTGCCCAACCACGTGGAAGCACCTTCCTGCCATCACTGGCTTTCTGAGATGAATAGGCAAGGATGAGCTGTGCCTAAGGCTGGAAGGGATACTGGACACTTAGGATTCCCCACAAACTAGGAGAATGTGTCCTTCTGGAGATGAGAGAATGGGGACTGGTCCTCTGACCTGAAGACCATGGTGTTCCCTGGACGCACTCAGCCCCACCCCAGAGCTGGCTAGTGGAAGCTGGGCCCACTGAAACGGCCTCCAGTAGCCTCAGCCAATGCTTCAACCAAGCCTGCTGCTCCACTCGTCAGGTTCCTTATCCACAGAGAAGAGGGCAGGGGAAGACACTAGGCAGGTCAGGAAGTATTTTACAATGAAAAAATACAAAAATTTCAACATCCTGCCTCTGAGATTAGGAATGGGAGTTTAAATCAACCCCCCAGGAGTTTGGTAAATAATTTTTGTACAGTTTGAAATACTACTAAAAGAAGTCTAGTATTCTCAATGCTGCTATCTGAAAGCCTCTCCTCTCCTCTCCTCTGACCCTACCAGCTATCAGCTCAGGAAGCACCTGTCCCACCTTCTGCGCCAGAAGAAGCTTGGAGTGGCAGACACAGACAGATGGGAGCGAGAGTGCACGGCACTGCTCCTCCAGATTTGGAGGAAGGAACTGGCACTTATGCTCCCAAAGACCACTGCAGTGAGCAGGACTCCCAGGAGTCCATCCAAGGGCATTGCAGGAACCAAGTCCACCAAGCACTCAGTGCTCAAGCACATCTATGGTAAATGTTATGGGCATTTAGTTTACAAGCACACCTAAGAATAAAATGTGAAATAGGACCTAATTACACTGGACAAACCTCCATTCAGATTAAACACAAAACTTTCTTATTCTACTCGAAAAAACCAGGATGTTTCTCAGCATCCCAGTTAGACCTCCCAACAGTTCTGGGTTAGAATTGGTTTGATGAGGTATTGCAGCATCTCGGAGCAGGTACTTCTAGCCAGGATTCTCTTCTGGGCTCCATGGCTGAAAACCTCACCATCTTACCCTCTCAAACCTCTGCATGGGTGTCCCCTTCCTTACACCACCCATTTGGATGACTCTAGATTCAGATCTCTCTGCTACACTCTCACCTTTCCTGTGCTGGGGTAGCACAGGGTTGCTCATTTGTGAGAAATAGAGAACAAATCT